CTTTAACTCTTTCAATGGTGCAGTATATATCATGATCCATTTTGGCTAACTGGCTTGCAATGGTTTCAAGTTGGTTGGAAATTTTGGTTAGCATATCAGGCTGTTCGTTTTGATCATTATTGTCATTAGGACGATGGTAATTATAATTATGATCGTAGTCATCTGCCCAAGAACTGTGAGCATGGATACTTGCATCCAAGGTTTCTTCATTCTTGTTGTTAAATGGTTGCTTGGGTTTGTTAGATTGAAAAGTAGGAGGGGGATTTGGTTTGTTAATTGGCTGTTTGGGAGTAATATTTATAGGTTTAGGATTTGTATATGGGTTCTTTGGGTCATTATGTTGTTTTAATGGAACTTTGTTGGTTTGATCCGTTGTGTTTGGTGTCAATTTATTAGGATTAACTGGTTTGGGTTTGTTAATAGGGGCCTGATAATTGCGGAATTGCGCCAGTTGGAATCTTTGGTAGAGCTGTTGTGTTTGGCGGTCTCCAGGAGATGATCTTTTTTTCTGACAATTTTGTGACTAGTGACCAGGAGTTTGGCAAATGAAATATAACTTTGAGTTCGGGTCTGCCCAAATTAATCTTTTTCTATCAAGATAGAAAGTCTCTCCGTTTTTGGCAACATCCATCGTTTCTTTGTCTTTAAAATAAAAGATAGCATACTGAAGGTTGCGATAGTTAGCACATGATTTAGGGATGACCCAAGCAATAGCGTCAATTGCATTGCCGATTGAGATAAGATGACGGCCGTTAGTGTCAAGAGGTAAGTTCGTGAGTTTAAGGCGGTTGAGTGCACGCAGGAGCATGGCAAGATTTACACAATCATAGGCCTTGGACATGTCCTGAAATAAAATCCAAAGATCTTTTTCTTTATTTGAAAGACGATCATATTTAATGTTATCCATGATATGAATTGGTTCAAATGTAGAGCGGAAGGGCAGACCAATAAAGTTATGACCTTTTAGGACATTTTCCTTGGACAACGTATCCAATAAACGTTTATTAATCAATTTGACTAACGCTTTTCGTAGGCATTCCAATAAAGTTATAGGGCGAGTGTTGTTGAGGTTGTATTCCCAGGGCTTTGGTTTAGGGATGGGGTATACGAAGGCGAGGTTCCAACGATTAGGCGTGCAGGACAATGTTAAGCATGCGCAAGCTAATATCTAAAAGATTTTGTTCATTTTAGGACCTAAGTGTTTTAGCATTTCATTTGAGACTTTAGAAGGGCCGGGGCTTTATCATTAGGTAGCGTTTTGAGGAGTTGATACCATTCATCTTCTTTCGGTAGGTCCATAAGGTGATCGTATATCGATTCATTGATGGAGGAAAGTGGTTCATATCAAGGTTTCCAATCATCAGTGAGCTCAACGAAATGATGATGTGTACCTGTGGTTTGTTGAAAGTGTCGATTGGTTTCCCATTTGACTTCGTCAGCCGTTGTTAATAGGCCAAGATCGTTGGCTGAATTATCTAGGAATTGATTAAGAACTATGGTATAACGTTTTCTACCAAGAATAAAGTCAAATATTCTAGATTGGTTATCATAAAAGTTATCGCAGCGATGTTTTAGCGCAGCCTTGATCTGTTTAGATTTATATTTATCTTCCTCGAGTTTGATCGCAATCATATAAACTCTGTATAAGTCAGAAAGAAATGGTTAGGCATTTTTTAAGTCTTGTAGTGTTGGTGAAACAACAGTGGGCTAAGGAAGTTTGTAGTGTGAGATCAGTAGAAATGCTTGTTGATAGATAGTAGTCCAATTTTTAGGAACAGCATATGTACAAAGGCCTTGTTTGGTAAGACGTTGTAATTTCTGGACGGCTACTAGTTGTTTGTACATATTTTTAAGTAAGCGAGGACGTAAATCTCTTGAATGGGCTGAAGAGTATTGTATAGGTATATATTTGTCTGCAGCTTTGATGATGCATCCTTGGATAAGGTCCCAAAAGAAATTCAAAGCATTTTTT